CAGATTGGAAGCCATATATGGATTAATAATTATCACGCTATCTCCCGATCTTAACCTGAGCTTTTGACCTTTTGAGCTGCGCATCTCAGGTGAAGGGAGATGTGTGGAGAACTCAAGAAAGAAAGCAGAAAAACTAGGTTTTCTGTCATAAGTCGACTCATGCACAGGCATAAGTTGACTTGTCAAGAAAGAAAACATAAAAATTGGGTTTTCTGTCATAAGTCGACCCATGCACATGCATAAGTCGACTTATGACCGTGCACGAGTCGACTTACGTTCTACTCTCCAGTTGTGAGTTTCGTCTCTGTCAAATCGACTTATCAGAACTGTTAAGTCGACTTACGTTCTGTTCTCTAGTTATTGTTTTGCGCTCGGTCAAGGCGACTTATGGCGACTGTTAAGTCGACTTATGATAAGTTGACTTGAGCCCTCTGTTAAGGCGACTTACGGGTTGTTTTTCAGCCTATATTAGGATTCCTATTTGCATTCTGTTTGGGTTTGATATAAATAGGAATATGTTGACTTCTAGGGTTTATGTAAGGACGTTTTTGAGCAGCTTTTGATAGAGAATTGTTGCATCGTATTGTGGGAGATTTGTGAGAGATCTAGAGAGCTTTGTTCTAGGGTTTATTTGTGAGTTTTGTACCTCTATTTGTATTCTCTTCATCTCTAATAGTAAGAACTCTCCCCTCCTTGCCCCGTGGACGTAGGTAACTTGCCGAACCATGTAAAATTCGTTGTCTTGCTATGGTGATTGTGTTTTTTGCTTGTGTGGTTGTGATTTATCTTGTTCTTGTTTGTGCACTATTTGGCTTTCGAGCACCTGCTGCGCACAACAAGATGAAGACGCAACAGCCTAGAGGCTATGTAATCCTCCCCCATCAGCATGCCAAAAAAAAGAGCTTCAGTAAAGTAATTAATTGGGTTTTTGTTGATGGGAGCATACCCTTCGTTGATATGATCTCGTAGCTTATGCGTACATATGGGAAGCCTACGAACATTCGACTTTCAAGAATTTGTGAATTAGGCTTTCTTTCTCCCTTCAACAGCAATCCTATTAACTGTCGTTTTACACTTGATAATCCATATCGACTAATTATTTCGCAAGCAAGCATTTCGGCGAACATTCTATTTCTCCAAGGATTCAATGAGGACAAGATTCATCTTATTACTACAAACTCACTGATCTTCATCCCCTCACAGTTACATATATATACTTATCCGCATACACGACCGACAACAAAAGAACCAACGTACAATCAAACTCCGCCGGCAAAGTGTTCACCTCTCTCCCCTTCGCTAATCAGGAATCCCCCTCCCATGCAATGCATCCTCAAACCTACTACAAGAATCCACCCTCATCTCCGTGCTCATATCATCCTCCGGCGCGGGATAGTAATCCTCCCTCAACTGCACATCTCTAAGCCCCGGAATCTTGAGGAAAAACTTCATGAAGTGCTCATGCGCCGTCCCATGAACGAACAGCTTCCGCAACCCAGCGCACCCCTGGATCAGTCCGGCTGCTGGAAGCGACAGACTCCTCTGGTTCACTTCCCGATCCTGCGGCGGCCAGTAATCGAGCTCGTATAGGCTTTCCAAACTCCCGATCCCGTTGAGATAGAATCTCTCCCATGAGCTCAGATCCATGTGGCCCATTGGCGCGGTGAACGCGTACCCAATTGCGTCACCACAGTCGAGCTTCATTTTCGAAAGCTTGTCATAAATCGATAGGCATGTTAACCCAAAAAATGGCTGCGATGGTCGAGGACAAGTTCGACAATCTCCTTCAATTTTGATGCTGATCTCTTCGAGTTCAGGGCAGAAGTCGGACGCTCAGCGTTTGGCAGGACTAAGGACTTCGCCTGCGGGAGCCAGAGCGATAGGTACCGCAGCCTTTCCCACGACGGGGGACCAGAAACCACCGTCTATGATGTCACTGCTGTTGTTGGTTTAGAGTACCTGCATTTCTTGTTCGGCCCACTGCTGCAATCAACTTCACAGAATTCAGCATCATCGAATCATCAACAGTGAGCTCATCTCTCTTCTCCATCGACCTGCTGCTAGGCCCCTGCTCGACCCAGTTTGCAGTCAATGTGCAGCCGCGTCGATGCGATCACGAACAGGGGCAAGGCATGGAGTAGCAGCATGGTGCAGCTGCCGGGCACCGGAAGATCTTCACATCAACGATAGTCGAGCGCGAGGCACGCCGGCCATCTTTCGCAATCCCTATCTCTGTCAGGGGGGGGGGGGGGGGGGGGGGGGGGGTTGGGTTGGGGGGGGGGGGGGGGGGGCGTTACCGCAACCATGAATCTCAAACCTCGACAGCCTGCGGCATCCTCGAGCGATGGTGTAGAGTCCGGCATCAGTGAGATCCCCGGAATTCTTGATGCTTAAAGACTGAAGCCCTCCACAGACTGAAACCCCATCGAGATGCAATCCAGCAGCTCTACAAATACCCTGAAATCTACCCAGCTTCAGGGTTTTGATCCTGGGGCATCTATTGCCGAGAACCTCCAGCGCCGGCCCAGCATCCGCAACGCTCTCACACAAATCCAGCGTGAGATCTTCAAGCCACGGCAGCGACATAAAGCAACTCCGCAGCGCCGCGGCGCTGATTCCAGAATCCTGCCCAGGATCCGAATCCTGAACCTGGTCCGCCGCAGGATCAACGAGATGCAGCGTGGAGAGCCGAGGGCATTTGTCAGCCAAAGCAAGCAAAGCATCGTCGCCGACGAAATTGAAGTGCATCGGGTTGAACACGCAAGGCGCTCTCAAACGACCACAGTTCGCGACAAGCCACGCTGGACACCGCCCAACGATCTCCCGACCGACTTGAACCGTTCGTTAATGCGGACTGAGGGCAGGAATCAGGCTCAAGAAGGACGCCAGCAAGAGGCCGGCGTGAAGCTGCCAGGTCGGCCGGGAATGTCCCTCGGTCCAGCCAGTTTAATGTTTTAATATGTTTCCTCTATTTTTTATCTCTTTTTCATTTAGTTTTTTATTTAATTTTTTATTTTTTAAGTTTCTATTCTTTTTTTATAAATTTTTTTTACTTCCTATTTTTTTTTATCCTTTGTATTTTGTTATTTTTTCATTTTTAATATCTTTTCTTTTCATTTTTTTTTTTTTTATTTTTTCTTCATGTTTTCTTATCACTTTTTATCGTCTCTTATGTTCCTTAAAAATTCCGTAATTTCTCTTTATAAATTTCGCTTTGCTGCTCTCTTCAATACGACAATCACATTTCAGTGCCACAGAAATCAGTCAAGGGACAAAGCATCTGCTGTGCATCTCATGGCTACCTCCCGTATCCCCTGATAGTCACACCCTTGAGCTTCGTGTGCGACCGGGTGAAGCAACCGATCTATTTCTTGAAAAGACCTTCGTGACCAGGAAGGTCCAAAGATGAAACCTCCCGGAAGAAGCGGTATTCATTTCGGAGTGCACAAGATTTGCTGCGGCCAACCAGGACCGGTGGTCTGAAGTGTCCACGCGATGTTCTACTCGGCGACGAGTCCCGGCCTGAACTCGCGCGAGGGGGCCCTTGGAGATGAACCGGCCCACCGAGCCGACTGACCGGCAAGCGCACGGGGCAGTCTATATTTCCTGCAGGAGTGTGGGTGTGCGTTCCATACACAACTCGCTGGCCGCAATCCGGTCACGTGTCCTAGCACCCTGGGCGCGTTTATCCTTGTGAACGTCGAAGCACCGTAGAGGGCGAAGGACCTAGCTTTTGGAGGAAGGTGGCGGACGTGGGGCCGAAGGAAGCGTGGTTGGTTGGCAAGCCTCGGCTCTCGTGCGGCGTGCACAACAACGTTATAGTCCCTGAGCTACAAGCTGCGTTCTTGTCTCATAAGCCCGCGCTCGAGTTGGCCAAAGAGTTACGGGATCAAAGCACTCTGTAGGCTGATATGGTGATTCGCAGCTCATTGTTAAACAACATGACTGTCCGCTGTCTGGATGCGTGTAGATGTCAGAAAAGTTCTGAGCCGCAAGGGGGAAGGATGAGAGATCGTGTGAATCCCGAAAAGCTCCTCGCACAGGTGGCGGTGACCCGGAGCGGAGGAGGACCCGGTGGGGTTAGTGAGAGCGGTAAGTAAAGGATCCCGCCTGTGGTAAGGGTTTTCGCCCCGGGAGAGAGAGAGAGGGAGGTGCCGGGGATGTTGTGACAGCGACCCACCCTCCGTATTGTCATGCGCAGCCGCGTGCTTTTCCGCGGGAAGTCACCCGAGGGAAGGCCTGTGCAGGGGACACACATCGATTGGAGCCCCGGGTGAAGATGGGCGGAGGTCTTCTAGTTGTTATCGGTTTTAGCGTGATACGAATTGCCAGTTCCAGAGGAACCGCACATTTGGTGGGCCCCATGGTTCCGTTTGAGCCGTTGGGCCTGGTCGGTGGAGGCCCACGCCACCGTCAAAAGGGTCACAGATCGCCAGCTGGCCAAGAATATCCCAGTCATGCTGTATCGAGCGCACGAGAGGACTTGTGGGTGGGCGTCGAGGTGGTCCCCCAGGGAAGAGGAAGGGGGTGATGGGGTGGGGGGGGAAGGGAGTGAAATGGGATGAATTCCCAGGCAATGGCATAATTAAAATCAAAATTCCGGCGCAGTATACGTCTCGCGGCGACTCAATCGGTCGCTAAACGCTGTTCGACTCAGGATGTCCCCAGCTCCAGTAGTCGGAGGGAAGTTTACACTCAGGTTTCTGATATTTCTGCCAGGTCCCCAGTCAGGCGCTTCTGGATTATGTGTCCCTTTATATACAGTCCGAATTTACATAAGTTAGTGACACCCCTGCTTGTTCAAGTCCATGGGCTCTCTAACGACCCATTCCCGGATGTGAAATCTGAATTGGAGCTCTAAATACAGGTTTTTTTGTACACTTGACTGGATGTTTAAATGAATTTAATAGGTTTAAACTTTGGTTTTTATTTCCGGTTCCCAGGTTTTTTTGACCAGTAAGAACCGCAGGAATTTCCCTCTAACACGGTTTTTTCATCGCTATGACAACCTTCTGAACCTAGGAATTATCCCTATCCATAGGATTCCAAAGAAGGGCGCATCTGGTAACAATAAACAGTACATCCCCTAAAGAATTTTTTTTTAGGCATTTTTTTTTAAAAATAAGAATGACATTATCAAATAATATCCATTTTTATGATATACACATGTTAAGAGTCAACCCTCTACGAACGCAGTCTCTTGCTATTGACTATATCCGGTTGACTACTTAAGTCTTCGACATGAATGTCATGCGTGTGACGAGGGAAGGCTTCCGGGAACAGGCTTCCGGACCAGACCGGCCGTAAAATTCAAGAGAATAAACCCACCAATCAACATATGCCAGAACAAATATGACACACCCATAGACACAGCAAGAACAAACGATTTACGTGGTTCGGCAAGTTGCCTACGTTCACGGGGTAAAGAGAGGGGAGTTCTTACTATTAGAAATAAAAAGAATACAAATAGAGTTACAAATCTCACCGATCAAACCCTAAAACAAAGCTCTAGATCTCTAACAAATCTCTCACAATTGGATGCAGCAATCCTCTCCAAAAAACTGCTCAAAATCATCCATGTTTAACCCTAATTAATCAGGTTTAGGGTTATATATCAACTCGGAAACGAACCGGGTCAAAATCCAAAGCCCAGCCCAAAATCAGTCTGCGGTCGACCGCGACGGTCGACCGAACCAAAAACCTGAGAGCAGAATCGATTACAGTCATGGCGCGGTCGACCGCGACGGTCGACCGAATCTCATCCCGAGACCAAAAATCACCTACAGGGTACTCGCGGTCGAACACCACGGTCGACCGCCTTCAGCTCCGAGTCCTAGTGGCCTTTGTGCACGTTTGCGGTCGACCGCCAGTCTGCCTGGCTGATTCTTCTGCTGCTTTCCTATACTCTCTCGTAATTTCTTCAATTCTCCACCTCGGCTAATGTTTCTACCAAAACCGAGCCGATACCAAATCATCCAAAAGCAACAAGTCCGGGAACCAAAACTAGAGCTGAAACGCGATCTCCCTCCCCCCCAATCTGAATCAACAAAACCGGCTGCATCTGAAAGACTGTCTACGTATCCTCTTGCCTAAGGAATCAAGTCGAACATAGTTCACCCAAATAACCTCCAAAGGCTTCAACACTGAAGAATGTTCAAAAGCTTCAAACAATGACCAAATTTCACTCCTGAAACAACTTTGGTCAATCAAAAGCTTCAAACAATGACCAAATTTCACTCCTGAAACAACTTTGGTCAACATATCTGCAGGGTTGTCGTTCGTGTGGACCTTCTCCAATATACTTTGGTCAACATATCTGCAGGGTTGTCGTTCGTGTGGACCTTCTCCAATATGACGTCTCCATCATCCGAAACGTCACGAACAAAGTGGAATCTGACATCGATGTGCTTCGTGCGCGCATGATAAACCTGGTTCTTCGGCAAATAGATAGCTGACATACTATCACAATATACCTGAATGGTCTCCTATGCAATCCCCAAGTCCTCCAATAATCCACGCAACCATAAAGCCTCCTTCACAGCTTCAGTTACTGTCATATACTCTGCCTCCGTAGTAGAGAGAGCCACTGTGGACTAAAGTGTATATCGCCAACATACAGGTGTTAGACCCCAGAGGAGGTGGTGATTAGGGTCTTATGCTAATCTAATATGATTTTATGCCAATTAAAACTTATTAATAAATTATTCTTATAAGATAGATATACAACAAGATATATGAGTTAGGATAAGCAATATGAACATAGAGATATACTATGAGATATATGCAAGGACATACAAATTAACACAATGGTGAAATAAACACAAACAAAATAGTGGATGATATAAGTAATGAGCAATGGACAATGACGACAAGAAATATAAACATAAGAGAAGTATGCCAAAGCAAACTTAAACACACGATATGATCACGGAGTTCGGACCTTCCGTCCTACGTCTCCGCTCCCCACTCCCGGGGAGAAATCCACTATCACAACCGGGTTTTCTACGCTCACCCGAATAACGTTTACACCTCACAATATTGGTTTTTAACGCTCACCGATCAACATCCACACCTTACACTTGGTTTTCTAGTTCACCGAAAGCTTCACAATTCACACTCTCACAAATGTCGGTTTTCAACGCTCACCAATCAACGTCTACACCTCACACTCGCTTTTCTAGCTCACCGAAAACTTTACAACACTAACAATGTAACAACAAATGATTTGTTCTCTAATACAAGACAAGAACTCAATTAAGCACAACTCAATGTTACAATCTCTCATAATCCCAATATACTATGTATGTAAATACTAAAAGCTCAATGTGGGTGTGTGTAACAATGAGATAATATAATCAAATCTAAACTCAATATAAAAACTAGATTTAAAGAATGATAATCAAATAACTAAGCAAATATAAAGCTAGATAAGAGTTTAGAAAACTTCTCAATAGATCAAGAGGTGGAGGGAGAATAGTTGGAAGCTCAAACTTCACTAGATGATCTCCTCAAGCTCTTGTGAAATTGATTCACAAAACCGAAACACTCAAATGCTTAAAAGCTTATAAAACACTTTAAACAAACTTAAACCATTGAATTAAAACTTTGTTAAACCTCTTTAAACATTCTCTTTGTTTGTTACTCATGAAGGATGAGAGCAAGGGGTATTTATAGCCTCCCAAAACCTCAGGCCTAAAAAACCCAATCAAAATGACCAAAAAGCCTAAGAGAAAACAGCTCAAAAACTAGCTTGAACTGATCTGACAGTTCGACGGTCGACCGCGGCGATCGACCGCGAGCAACAAAAAGCTAAAGAAAGGCTATGGAAAGCAGGCGGTCGACCGTGGCGGTCGACCGCGAAAGTCTCTGGATTTGCTACGGTCGACCATCACGGTCGACCGCAATCCATAAAAAGGCAAAATGAATTATGAACTGTAGGCGGTCGACCGTGACAGTCGACCGCGAACTGATACATGGGGTTTTCACAGGTTTTTGTAAATAGTTTTTGAGACTTTTAAAATATGTTAAAAAAACAAATAAAATCCAAAAATAATGAAACTTTGGGAAATGTATATAACATGTAAATGAACATGTTACAAAAAGAATTTACCAAATTGCATTTCTCATTTATGAAAAATCATCATTTTGCAAAATAGTCCAAAACATGAAAATGTGAACATATGAGTTTTGACATTTTAGCTTAACCATGTTTTGAAACAATACAAAATGATTTTGTAGACTTAATAAAAGATGTATATGATTATTATTAAGTCCATAAACAAAGAATACAATATTTTCACATATATATATATATACACGAAGAAACCAATAAATGTGTGTGTATAGATGATTGAGCTTAAAGTACTAACACACATAATATAAAACCTAAACTATATTACCCAAGCTTGATCTTGATCTTCATTGTAGCTCAACTTGGTAATCTTGCAGATGAAGCTTAAACTTAGATCTTCAACTTGAAATGCAAGGCTTCACTCTATAATTCCGCCAACCTCCATTGGATATGATCGTTATAGCACAATACATCCAACCTCTAACTCATTGTTTGCCTAGAATAAATACGAAAATACAAATACTAGACAAATAATATTAGAAGTAAATTATTTGTTAAACATCATCAAAATAAGAAGACCAACAATCTCCCCCTTTTTGATGATGACAAATAATTTACAAAAAGGATATATGCATGAAAGGAAATGAATATACAAAGTATAATATATCATGCATATAAACAAGAAAGAATATACTCATAATATTTCTTCCCTTTTGACAACATCAAAAAAGGGGAAAATAACAAGAATGAAGAGAGCGAAGACTCCCCCTATCAATATGCATGAGTGAGTATAAAACAAGTATAGGGAATAGCTCCCCCTATTAAAATGCCATATAGAATATATGAAATAAAAGCTAAGGCAAAAACATGTGAGTAAGCATAAATGAAAGATATGTTAAACATAACTCACATACAAACAAGACAATGAGAACACATATTAATATGTCATTTATGAAAGAAGTGTCTCATTACACAATTATAAAAACATAGTGTATAAAAATAGATTTATGAAATCAAAAGAGGAACATGAGTATCACGCAAAAAGTTTTCCAATGAAAAACAAATCAACCAATGAAATCATAAATCGCAAGTAAATCATATAAAACCAAATCATCATTGATTTTCAAAAATCAAGAGAGGTAATTATATCTAGCTCTTGAGCTAATATCAACCCATATAAATATTTTAGCATCCGGTAAACAAGATTTGGGAATAAACACCCAATAGACCAGGAGGGTATATAACTACAAACCTCTCATTTAAAATCAAAACTAATAATCATGAAAACAAAAGA